CTGCACGAAGAATGACTTTTGAAGGCAGCGTCCGGGCAAAAAGTTGATTTAGAGATTTTGTGCTTACCATGGCCTGTTCGCTATGCTGAATCCGAAAATTCACACTAGAGAGCGCGAACACCGAAAACAGGCTTCGCAGGAGAGAAATCAGCAGGTGGGCGGGGTCTTCCCCACTGTAAATTCGAGCTCCCAGCATCCGCAGCGATCTTCTCGATTCCACTTTTAAGCCACGCATTCGCACTTGGCCAGTGGTAATGTCAGGTCGGCTAGCGGAATCAAGAAGATCGCTCCGACAGTTGGCAGGTTGAATCTACAGTGGGAAAGATTCGACCCACACCGCCCCCTACCAATTCCTCTCCTGCGTTGAGCCCTCTTTCGCCGTTTTCGCGCCCCTCAGTGTGGATTTTGGACTCAGCATAGCGAATAGGCCCGGTTAGGCAGGAAATCTCAAAATCCACTTCCTGACCGGACACTGCCTTTGGGCTCACTTTTATAGACATGGCTTTCTGCAGCTAACTTTGTTTTGGGCTAACATCAAACGAAACAGGAGCTGTCCAAATTGCCAAAATTTACATTTTGCGCGTACATTAAAGGATATAATTACTCATAGCTTTGTCTATAGAAATGGTTAGCAGTCAAGGGAAAAAGGTCTGGATTTAGCGTTTTAATCTGTATTCTTTGATATGCGGCTTGTTGGCAATAGCTGCTTTGACTTCTGACCATTCCGCTGTGAGAATAACATGAGAGCTGACTCAAAAACTCTGAGAGTAACCGGCCCAAACCTAAGGCGTGAACACTGGTGTTCAAGGTTATTGGGTTTTATTTCCTGTGCTAAGCTCTATACTAAATGATTATTACTTCTGCAAGAAATAAGACGAGACCTCAATCAATTTCATACTCTGAAGATGAGTAGTCATCTACTTTTATACAAGAAAGATAAAACATACCTCTCCCAGCCTCATCGATCCCCAAAATGCATGGAACACCGTCTCCAAAGCCGACCCATGTTTCAGACCGTTCAATCTGAGGCAGTACTGTTTCAACCGACATTCTGCTCTGACTGAAACAATAAGAAACTTCACAGATAATTATTGAGAGAAATGAACGAACATGCCAAGATTTAGATAGCTTTTTTGAAATGTATGGTACGTGATGTTCCGTCAACAACGCACACACATTTTGCCCTACTGCTTGCCAAAAATAGCGGGTTGTTTATGAAAAGCTTGAATCGTTATTTAACTTGCTTCTACTGGGTGAAATCTTTTTTGATCGACTGAATGCCAATATTCTTTTAAT